AGAAAACGGACGGTGCTCTACTGTGATTACATAATTCAGTGGACAATTAATAGAAATGTTATTCTGTATAAAGAAGATCTGTTCTCAAATACCAACGATAACAAGAACTCAGCATTCACTCTCTTGTCTTATCCGGGATACTCTTCTTCTGTGTTTGTTTACACTGGTTTTCGAAACCGCGCCACCACTCTCACCCTTTTGTGCAACAGCAGCTGCTCCGGTCACGTGATCCTAGCTCAAATCTGATTGGATGGCCCGTGATTTCGCTTTGCGAAACTGAAAAGATTCGTCGGACTGGTTCGGAAAAAAAAACATTCACATTTTCGGTGCGCGAATGTTCGCGGTCTATGTGGAAGCATCCAAAGAAATCTATTGTTTTATTCCAGCGCGTCATCGCGTCCGATATTCGTTTCGCTTTTTCGCACTCAGTGTGGTAAGGCCTTTAAGCTGACATCCCACTAACCATTAACCTTTTAATCAGGTTTTGTCTTCCATTTATTTCTGTCTTACATTTAGCTTGTTCAATGCACTAGTTAAGCTAGTGTCCCACTAACCATCTTTTAATCATATTTTTGACTTGTATTTAGTGTGTACATGTACTAGTTGAGCTAATTTCCTACTAACTGTTCTTTTTCTTAATTTGTTTTCTGTCTTACATTTACCTTGTTTAATGCACTCTTTTGTTAATCGGGCTCTCATGGCCTTCGCAGCGACCAATGAGCTCCTTCCCAACCTAAATTGATAAAAAAGTACCTTTAAGCCATTATGTCGAAGACCTAACAAGCTTTCATGTTAATTTGCTTCCAAAATAAGATTTGTGCATTAGTTTTGAGATGGTATGTGGGCAGCAAAATCACTGTTAACCTTTCATCGCACCCTCGGTTTAGCGCACGTGTACTCGCCTGAGCATGTCTGATTACACAAACGGTTGCGCCACATTTGATTTCCAAAACAGAGCTTAGAAATAAATAAATTATGTAATGTTGTCTGCTCCTCTGTCTCAGGTACATGATGATGAAGGACTGCTGGCATGCAATCTCCTCTCACAGGCCCACATTCAAACAGTTGGTCGAGGACTTGGACCGCATTCTCACTTTGGCAACCAACGAGGTGAGGCGTGCACACGTTTACACACATGCATAAACAGTCTCGAAACCATTCGTGCTTTCCCTATAGCTCTGGGATCCATCGAACCCGTGCCAACACTGGCTCCGACTCCAGCTCGCAACATTTCGCAAGATCCGCGAGGGAAAGGAAGCCGTTTATATGGTCAGCGTACAGGTCGAGAGTTGCACGTGCTTAATTTCATCCAGCCTTGGGTTTTCGAGAGTGGCCCTCGTGCTAACGTTGCTCAATTGTCAGATGGATCCATACTAGATGATTCTTTCCGTTCCCTAGCTGCCATCCGTGATATCTGTGTGGCGGGCTGAGGGATGGAAATCTGTCAGAACTTGTCGAAGGGGGGATTGTGCCGTGGAAGAGAGATGATGCCAAAAGCCCCGCTCTTGCTCGCCGTTTTGAACTTTAGAAATGTAATAAAGTGCCTCTGCTTTCTTCCCCCCATCTTAAACTGCTCACAGATGTGAAGGTCTTTAGTAATGTGAGCTGCCTTGTGTTGAGCAGCGAGAGTTCAATCCAACACTCATTTTCAGCAACCTAAAACCCCCCTCTTCCTCTCGTCAAATAGTTCAGTACCAGCCGCAAAGACGAAATGGCTCCAATTTTGTCTGAGGAATGAACCAGGAAAAAACATCCTCCTGTACTTTTTTTGGTCTTATATGTTTATGTGCATTGGATGTTTATAGATATGTATTTCAGAAATATATATAAGTCTTCAGGTGTGGTCCCTTCTGTTACTGGTTCACTGAAATTTGATAAGCAAATATTGGTTAGACTTGATGTTCAGACGTGGAACCTGGCGCAGTGGTTTCCAGCATGGTTAAACTCGGACTGAGCGCACTTTATTTTTAAGGAAGCGGCTAGTAGGTCAGTGTTACTGCTGATGAATCACAGCGGAAAATATTATTTGAGTTATTTAATTATTTGATTACATATACTACCATTCAAACATTTGGGTTCAGTATTTTTTATTTTTTTTTCGAAAGCGAGAAATTATTACTTTAAGGACACATTAAATTGATCAAAAGTGGCAGTAAAGCCATTTAAAATGTCACAGAAGATTTCTGTTTAAAAAAAACGCTGTTCTTTTGAACTTTCTATTCATCACAGACTCCTGAAAACTAACTAAAGAATTGTTAAAACTAACTAAAACTAAAAAGTACAAATAAAATAAATAAATAATCAAAAAATTATAATAAAAATGAATAGATAAATAAAATAAAATATAAAGAAAACTTGAACTTATTCCAAGGCAACAATGGAAATTATTGTATAAAATAATCATTACAATAAACATTACCTGAAATAAAATAAAATATATAAAAAAGTTCAACTTTATTTCAGCTAGTTGCCAAGGCAGCATCTAATTTTTTTAAATAACTTTAAATGAAACATTTTAAATAAGAACTAAATAAACGCATATATTAGACATATAAAAAAGAAATTGATTAAAAGTGACAAAACTACATTTCTATAATTATAACTAAAATTAAAATGAAAAGAAAATATTTTTGAGAATCTAATTCAAAATACTAATTAAAAAACTATATAGTGTATCAATTTTATTAAAATAACACTGGTTTAAATGCATTTTTTTCTCTCCATGGAAATAGCTTTTATTTCTAATGGAGAAGGTTATCTTTCATTTGACTAATTGAAATATAATTGGGCTTTTCCTATTTCCCTAATTTTTCCCATTAAATGTGGCAGCTCTAGTTCTGGTCATGTTTATACTGACAGCTTCTTCTTTGTGTCTGTAGGAATATCTGGACCTGTGCGCCCCGGTGGAGCAATACTCTCCCAGCTTCCCCGACACACGCAGCTCCTGCTCCTCCGGAGACGATTCCGTTTTCTCCCACGACCCCTTAGCAGATGAGCCCTGCCTTCCCAAGTACCAGCACATCAATGGAGGCATAAAAACATGAGCCTCTTCAACGTTCTCCAGACCCACCGCATCCAAGCTACGCCTGTAGTTCTCCACAAGACTGAGAGACTTTTACCCACAGTTCCCTTGTACCCATCCAGAACCGTATGCTGCCTCTAGACTCCTTGCGAAGCTCCCGCTGAACTTTTGGAGTGCGCTAAAGGAGGCTGAGACGTCAGCAATGCTGCTTTTCCGGAAATAAACTGAAGCGTGTGAAGCGCAGGTGCATTTTTTTTGTGGAAACACACACTTGTGCGCACAAAAACACGTGACCAAGCTCTTAAGAAGAGGACAAGGACTGAAGAAAAGTGACTGTTTCCAAGGGCCCACCTATTGAATTGTTTTGTTTGTTTATTTCGATGGGGTTTTTTTTTCGTTTATGTTGGAGTTCTATTACATTCTTGCCGTCATTCCGTTGCTTGGCATTCCAGGATTCTGTGTTCCCAAGAGAAATGAATGGAGCACATGAACAGAACTCTTAAGAGACAAAAAGGAGACAATACGATACGAGTACAATAAGGAAACATACAACTAACAGAAGAAGAAGAAGAAGAAGTAGAAGAAATCATAACTGCCTACGGTTGATTTTTATTGTTTATTTTAAATGCTCAGTTTTTACCATGATAACATGGTTATTGTACAAAAAGCCCAAGCCGTTATCCTTAATGGTTAAAAAAATAATACATGGTATATAGTGCTCGGTATATTTGTAAATATATTCAAATATGTAAAAATATATATTATATATTTACAATGAATTATTTTTGGTATGGACTTCCGAACAATTCCTCCCTTTTCCCGCAGAGTGAGAAATAGATGTAGACACATCTAGATGTTTCTATTACATTCCCAGACATACATTAGCACATTTATAGCAGGACTCGACATTAAAAACTCCATGATATGGCTTATCTCTTATGTGTTTCCTGTTAAAAAAGGAAGTTTCTTTTCTTTGTAATGTTTTGGGAGTGTGCTAGCATTTAGATGACCTCAAAACTGACAAACATGGACTAAAAGCCAAACAACTCTCAGTTTTCATGCATATGTTCCAGACACTTTGAGCCGTGGTGCTGGTTCGAAACCAGGCGCACAAAATCCCCTGGAAAGGTTTAATGTCGGGTCCTGCGCAACTCTCACTTGCTGACACAGTCACGTATTGGCTTTCAGGGAAAGAGATAGCATGTTAATTTATTGACTTATGTTAAAAAAAGAATCAAAAGGATAAAAAAGATCAAAATAATAAAGAGATAATATTAATGACGACAGTAGAAACAATAATGATTCATAATGTTTATTTTGTAATCTAAAATAACATTTCAGTGGTACAAAGAATTATTTGTAGCTGGTATCGAAAGATTTGCATTTCTTACGTCTTTTTATATATAAATATACAAATGTGAATGGTAAGTTAAAATGCAAAAATAACGTACATTTTTGTAGTCAGCTAATCCCTTTTCTATAGTAGAGGATGTTGTTTTTATCCGGCTGTTTTACTCACACTGAAGTTTGCATTTGAATTTGACGAAATGCTGGAAAAAAAGGTTGCAGTATATTTTGTGCAGTTTTACCCACAACTCAAAAGTATTAAGAATCGTTCAAGTGTTTCATTTTCTTCCAGACAAATGAGCTGAGGTTGCTGTCAAGTGTTCCTGACAGATTTGTACAATTAAAGATGAAAAAATGAATTGTGTGTGCTTTGTTTTTATACTTTGCTCTGATTTTCTAAACAATTTTTTCTTTCTAGAAGATGTTGTTTTTATCCGGCTGTTTTACTCACACTGAAGTTTGCATTTGAATTTGACGAAATGCTGGAAAAAAAGGTTGCAGTATATTTTGTGCAGTTTTACCCACAACTCAAAAGTATTAAGAATCGTGTGTTTCATTTTCTTCCAGACAAATGAGCTGAGGTTGCTGTCAGGTGTTCCTGACAGATTTGTAAAATTAAAGATGAAAAAATGAATTGTGTGTGCTTTGTTTTTATACTTTGCTCTGCTTTTCTAAACAATTTTTTCTTTCTAGAATGTGATCAGTACCTTTCTGGTGTCTTTGCACATGTTCAAGTCAAGTAAAATGTATGTATATAGTGCTTTTTTCCCCACAATACACAGTTTCAAAGTAGCTTTACAGAAAATCATAATGTTAATGTTTATAATATATTAATGCCCTATGGTTGCATTTAGCACATGAGAGCTATAGTTTACATTTTGTAATGAGACAGGCAATCAAGCAGTTGAGATTTGCTATATAGTACAGTATCGCCATATACTGTATGTATGCAGATAAAGTTGTATATACTTATATCCAGCTATGTATAGTGAGATGGATTTTAATGTGCAAATCGCAAGCCTGTAGAGTGCCTGTTCATTCCCAGATTGGATCTCTTCTCTCCACTTTGGCTAATTGCAGATTAAATTATTAGATTTGTCAGTATTAATATTTTTATGCTTAGATTTTTTTGGGGGGATCAAACCCAAATAAAAAGTATATTTTCCTTGTAGTTTTTGTCCTAACCACCCGCGACACAACACGTTAAAATAAGCGACATGGGATTCTATTTTAGGAACGGTTTTTATTTTCTGCGACGTCGCGGCAGGAGCAACATACAAAATATGACACTGATAATCTCAGATAATGATTATGTGCTTTATTCAATGTTAAAAGTGTCGAATGTGAGTTTGAATATTATTTTGCGTTACCTTTATGGCCACAGTGAAAGCAACAATAGATATTTTACCTCAGATCTTGAAAATAAATTAAAGCAAACTTGTTCGTTAAAACTGTGAACTCACTGCGAACCAAAACGTGTATTCCATAACAAAGATAATCAGTCACTCACTCACTCACTCACTCAAAACTGTTCAGTCCATTTTAATCATCTGTTTTCCGTGTACACTTTTCTTTTCTTACACACTTGCCATGTTTTTGCTGTTACATCATATCTTCACTGGACGCGACAAAGCATTGCAAATTATTTGAACGTTGTGTCAGTACGTTATAAATAGAACGAGTCAGCAGTTTACTGTCGGGGAGTTGGCGTCTCGCCCCGCATCCAAGACAGCATCACTGATTATAACGAGTTCTATTGTATTTTATTGCGTCGCGCCGCACCGCTTGCGTCCGGTGTCGGTGTCGGTGTAGACACGATGTAAGTTAAAGTAGCTTTCTGATGCTGCGTTTGAATTTTCATGCCACATTATTTGAAATTAGCGCGGGCCAAACTTTTTTCTCTCAGGGGCCGCCTATTGAGGAACCCTGCTGTAGACTCACATCCTCATGGTAGTTTTAGTCTTTACCTTAGAAAAGTAGAATTTGTTTAGTCTTTACCTTAGAAAAGTAGAATTTGATAAATGTTCATATTGAGATCCATGACATTAATTTCAAGCTTTGCTATTTTGTATATGCATACTGTATGTGAGCAGTTTGAGACCTTGTTGAGACACATGAGATTCCTGGGGTGTTTTCTTAGGAGAAACATCTGAGAAGCAGGTGCTAACATCCATTTGATCTCCATTTGATCCCACTGATTTTTTGCAGAAAAATTGTGACACTAAAGAAATGACTTTTTATACTGGTAGGAACCAGCATTCCTTCACAAATACTGTTGGTTACAGGTCATTCTCCCGTTTTTTTTTTAAATTTTCTTCTCATGGCTGTCAGTTTAAAACGGTTGAAAGCCATTCAGTCCAATGGCACCACTCAGGAGAACAAAACCTTCTCCCCATCTGAAAAAATGATAAAAACTATGGTGACTGAAACCTGTCATGGCCTTCAGTGACAGCAGCATTCAGACCTCATTACTGCTCTCCAGCATCTAGTATGATCCCCTAAACGAGAGACTGCGATGAGAATCTGCCACATAAAGTTCTTCAGCTCAGAGCTGTTGAAATACATGAGGAGGCCCATCAGAGCGCTGACTGCCATCTCAATCTACTGGTTCTCGTAGCCTCCATCTGTCAGAGGCTGTTTGCACAAGGCCCAGTCCTCTGGAATGTCAACATGAGTCGGGCGAGACAGACCCACACTCGCAGATAACACACCGGGGAAGCTGGGAGAGAGTTAATCAGTAACATAAACCACATCGAGCGGGACGCCTGCTTCCGATGCTTTCATAGCTTTGCAAACTCTTTCAGAGGAGTCAGCTTCTTTAGGGAAATTTCTAGAGGTCATTTCAGAGCATGGTCTGTTGAGATTCGTCTCACACAACCTAAATTGGTGCATTAGGATAATCTTAAAGGATGTGTGTATTTTTCTCAAACTGAGCCAGAAATCTCCACTTCAGTAGCGCTAGAAATGTGCATATATTTAATAAGACAATGCAACATTTGCATGTTTAAACATAACATTTCAGAAAACCTGTAATACAGTTGTAAAACAATTGCCTTAATGTATTGCCATTAATCAACTTGGGAAAGTATGGCGATATCGATGAGTTTTTCTGAATTCTACTACTACTGTATCTCTGTGGCCTTATAAAAACATTAATTTTGGTGAATTTGGGGGCAGGACTATCAGTTTGCCTGACCAATGAGGGAAGTGCACACTAAGTGAGTTTGAAAACAATGATTATTTTAGCAGTTCTGTTTGGTGTGACAGAAATTACACACTTTTAAAGCAAATCACTAAAGTTTCTTGTCCCACTTGCTCATAATTTGCATCCCGCTTATAGTTTTCCTTTAGTACAGAGATCTTCTACCCAAGAGAAATGTGAAAGCTTTATGTTGAGGTACGTACATGCTCGTCCTCAGATTCACCTCAAAGGTTTATTAAAACTGATCAAGTTCGATACTAAAGCTTGTGTATCTGCACAGGGCTTAAGTTGTCAATAGAGTCTATGAAGTTTAAGAGGGTTAGCAGATGTGTAGCTTCTGTCATAAAGTCGTCCAATAAAAACAGTCATGAAGTGCAGCCTCATAAATGAGGTTTAATTTAAAATGAGCAGTTCATCAGAGCTCTGATGCTGTTGGCCTGCTGGTGTTTTCCTCATATCTTGAGGTAGAACATGATGCTTTGAACATTAATAATCCAGAATTGTGCATCAACAGTAAGGAATTTATCGCTCTTAGGGATAAGAGTTATCCTCTTAGCAATCGTCTTATTCTAAACTATTTTCTTTGACAGTAGACATAGTGTAGAAATGTGTGTGTGTGTGTGTGTGTGTGTCACGGTCACAAGCTGTAGTGCTCTTGATAGCCACCAAAGACTCCATCCCATACCTTTGCCACACTTTCCTGAACTGCATTCCCCATAATCCTTTGCACACGCTCATCAGCACTAATTGTTTGCCCCTGTGTCTTGTTAGCCCGGTTCTCATTCATTGCTAAGTCTTGTAGCTGTTGTGCAAATCTAACCCTGCGTCTCAATGTTCATACTATCCATCCTAAATAGTATGTGAGATTAGAATAAGTGTGTCCCAAAGCATAGTATGTTGAAAAGAGTATGCCAAAAGTCCCCGGATGGTCTACTATTTCAGGTCGATTTTTGAAGTGTGGATCCGTGCACACTCTAATGGCTAATATTGCCCACAATCCATTGCACTTTGGTGAAGGATTCTGTCCAGAACTACAAACACGAATGAAACGCATAAAAAAAAACTACAAACATGGCGGATGTGCACGACCAGCGGTTAGGAAGAGAGACTTAGAAAAAGGGGTTTGAGTTACTAATATTCAACATTTAACCTGGTAAAAAATATTTATTTAATGTTATCTGTGTTATATTTCATCGGCAACAGCAATCTAAACTTTTATAAACATTCGTTTCGTCGTTAACTTTTAAATGCATCATTATGCATAAAATATGAGCAGAGTTCTCAGCATGAAAGATACTTTGGACTGGCAGATCAATGTGCTACTTCTTTTCTCTTCAATACGGTAGGAAGTTAAATGAAATGCAATGTGGAGGATGTTAACTGTGACAAGATGATTGACAGGCCAGGTGCCTGTAACTATGTGACAGAGAGTCCGTTAAAGACGCAGTTGTGTGACGTGATAATATGTCCCAAAGCTTGCCTACTCTTCTACTACACACTCAAAAGTGTGTACTTTTTCTTCACCAAAAGAGTACATACTTTAAGGGCGTAGTATAAGTAGGCACATTGAGACGCAGCATAAGCCTTGTTTCCTGGTTCTCCCGCATCTTGGTTCCTGGCTTTATTTCCCTGCCTGTCTTTTGGATTACCCTTTGCCTGTGTTTTGCCCTGTTATTGTTTGGACTGGTTGCACGTGTATAAGACCTTCTGCCTGTTTCTGGATTATGCCTTTGGATTACCCCTCAATAAACACTGCACTTGGATCCTCAATCTTAATGTCCCCGTGCAGTTTCATGACAGTATGTTTATACCTGCACCACTCTCTCTATTCTTAAGTTCAAAACTAATTTGTGAGTCTTTTTAACATTCGTTAAAAAGAACTGACTCAGAAAAGTCATTCGTTTGTGAATGCAAAGAGTCAAACCCAACTAACAAAAATATATTCTAAGGACATCTTGCTAATGTTCCAATGAAGTTATGAAAACGTTATTTCTGAATGTTCTCTCAATATGCAAAATGGTCCAGTTTTTAAACTATTTAAACTTTTTTTTTCACATTCCATTATATAATTATGCAAACTTTATGGGAAAGATACTTTGGAATGTTCGTTGAACGGTCTGAAACTAGTAACATCTAAAAACCATTAGAGGAACGTTCAACTAACGCTTTAGAACGAAAACATTCCATGAATGATGTTAAATAACATTTTCGTGCAAATGTTTAAAGAACATTAGCACTGGTAACTCTAAACAAACGATTTGTAAACATTTCTTGTTTTCAAATTGTTTTGCGGTACCAACTTTCCAAAACCATAAATCATGAAAATCACTTTGTACTGTATACGTTCTAAATTTAAAACTGGTACTTGATTCCCCCCTTTTTTGCTTTTTTTGAATGTTTTGAGTGATATTTACTGGCTGCAAGGCGGCTTCAGTTTTAGCATGACTTAATTAGTCTGTAGCTCGCAGATCAGAGACAGCTGCTTATTTGAGTGGGAAAACAGACGAGCCAAAGAATCCACAACATAAGGTTGATCCAACACCATATAAGAGAAGGATGACCTCCTTCCCGCTCCCGTTCCCTGCAATTTTTCCCTCAGCTAATTCTCAATATCTAAAGTCATTTACCTGGACACAGTGTCTATTGTGTGGATAATTAGCTTGCCGGCTGCAGGTTGAAGGAGCTGCCCTTCCAAACGCTCAGGAATGTCTGTGCTTGTCTTGGGGTTAGAATGTAATTAAATCAGTTTTCTTCCTGGCTGTGACTCAATGCCGACTACCTGTGAGGACAAGAACTTCTCCCATCTTGTCCTGGCAAGAAACGCTAATTTCAGTTTCCAACTATCGTCACCCCCTTTCACAACTTTCTTTACCTCTTTCTATTGTTTCTTGTTCAAGTGCCCTTGGCCGAACAGAGTAGCAAAAAAAAAAAAAAATTACAGTAATTTGTTCTGTAATTGACAAAAAAGAGAGGGCTTTTAAGGAGTAATTAATGCTAAAAACAATTATTCTGTCATCCTTTATTCACCCTTGTTCTTTTATTATTATTTAAACAGAAATTGCAATAAACAAAGTTTCATGCACCAAATTTCATGCACCAAGTTTAAAAAAAATAAGGTAACACCCAAAGTTCACAGTTTTGTCTGCTACAAATCAGTGTTAACTAAAACTAAAAACTATATTAAAAAAAGCTGAAAAATAATTAAAAATAAATATTAAATGGAAAAAAGTAACTTTAAACACTTGCCAACTATATCATATGTTGATCTTGGCAACAAACTGAAATAAAATAAGTTGAAGTTGAAAAACTGAAATTACTAAAACTAAAATAAAAATAAATGAAAGATATATAGAAATATATGTATAAAAAAAACCGACAGTTTCAGTCGCTTTTTTTGTCTTGGATTAATGTTATTTTTCAATGGTTTACGTGGTTGATGCTGATTAAAAACGACTCCTTTACTCCTACTCCTTCGTCATGCGCATTCTCTACAACCACAACCCCATGACAGTAACCGCAGATATTATGGTATAAGTTGATAGAAAACTTGATAGATGTGGTCACTGTAAATTGTCTTTGTGTAGAAATGAGATGCATTAAGTTTAATTTCTTTTTGTGTTCCACTGAAAGAAAGAAAAAACTACGTTTGGAATGACATAAGTTTAAACGATGTAAATAATGACTGCATTTTCATTCTGTGTGAACTATTTCTTTAAGAAGTGATGCTGATCTAAAAGGTACACATTGAACACAGCCATCCTCACCCATCAGTCTGTGCAGGATGAAAGTTGTAATGGAAATCATGATAATTGTAAATTCCATTTTTCCAAGCTCCTGGAGATGACTGGACCAAAGCGGAGGGGAAAAAAGTGAGTCTGAAGGAGAGCGAGTGCTGAAAAGGTGCTTTGTCCTGGGCTCCAGGTTGACAGAGGTGCAGGCCCGTCAGTGACTGTGGTTCTAGGTGGATGTCCAGGCCCTCGCTGGCACTATCTGCAGAGCACACAGCTGGGCTCAACACCTCAACCCAGCCCAACACTAACTGCAAGCAACCACCACTGATGGAAAAACAAACCATACGGGGGACACAGACTTAGTCCCCCTTGTGAAAACAAGTACACTTAGCATACTTGATTACAAAACGAATATACTTTAAATTAAAATGCCCTATGTGCAAACAGAATGTTATGTTTTCAGACACTTCATTGCATGTTCGTTGCAAGCAAGTGAAAGTGTATTATAGTTTAAATGCAATTACTGGAACTTAAGAGTGCTTTTCTGACCCATCTTTATATGTAATTTTATAATTGCTTTGGTCATCTTTGAAATATGGTTGAAGTGCACTGCTGAGTGTACATTTAAAGTAAACTAAAATAGATTTCAATTTTAATAAAGCTATTTAAATATATTACTAATTATATATTTCTAATGATGGTTGACACACACACACACACACACACACACACACACACACACACACACACATAAAACCTTTTTTATTTTACATGTGATTTAGTATGTTAGTCAACATCCAAATCAGGGTATATATTTATACTGTATATACATACATACATACACACACACACACACATATATATATAGACACTATATATATATATATATATATATATATATATATATATATAAACACAAAGCAATATTTACTATAAAGTATATGCATTAAAATGATAAAGTAGGAAGGTACTGGTATGTTTTTGACGTGCCTTAGCATCAGCTTCCTTGAGTTTACTGCACAGATCTGTAATGTTCTTCTCGGTCATCTCTGCTGGTTTTGGAGACATTGAGGCTGATGGGTAAACTCCCCGTACAGGCCAGCCCCCCGCATATCCCACACGAAGCTCCACCAGATTTA